GGCTCCTTGGGAAGGTCTGAAGATTTTTTAGGGGTTAAAACACTTTGGTCTCTACGATCCCTCATAGTGATATAATTTAGAGTGATCTTGGGGATGAGGTGAGTAGCAAACATGTAGTACTTCTCCTTTCCCAAGTGCCATTTTATTAGTTCGAATGTCCTTCCTTCGATTTGAGTGTCGCTTGCACAGATAGGTCACACCAGCCACAAATTTCTCTGTCTATAACTTGTGATTGTGTGTGGAGCTTGTAACACCCCCATTTTAAGTAATTATTTATTTAATTAAATTAATTGATTAATTGTGTGATTTTGTGCCTAATTGAATTAACTAATTTATGTGATATATTTAAATTAAATGATTTAGTTGATATATTTGAATTAGCTGATTTATTGAATTTATATGAAATATTTGATTTATATAAATTAATTGATTTATTTAATTTATACGAGTTAATTGATTTAATTGATATATGTGATTTATTGAATTAAATTAATTTATGTGATTTATTTTATTGGTATAATAAAATGTAGAATTTGCTAGAGTAATTAGTTGGGCTTATTTTGGAGTGTGAATAGTAAGTGTGAGATTGAGTTAGTAAGACCCAATTGAGTTAATACAAATGATAGGGTTTAACATAGAGTAAGAAGAGAATAGAAAGAAAGAAAAAGATGGAAAGGAGGAAAAGACGCAAAGAGAGAAGTGGAGAAGAAGAGGAGAAAACCCAAGTTCAAGAGGTCTAGAATCCAAGATAAATTAAGGTAAGGGTGGGTTTTTATATGATTATTGGGATTGTATGATAGTGTATGATGGATAGAAACATGTTTAGGATGAAACCCCTAATTTTTATGATTTTGTGATAGTTAGGTTTTGATGATAATCTTTGACATGTGGTAATTAATTGTGATTGAAATTTATATATATTGGTGTGTTTCGTTAACTTTTCTTGAAACCAATTGAAATAAGAGTTTACTTTAATATTCTATTTACTATAGCATATACCAAATAAAATATGAAATTATAATGAGCTAACCTACTGTAGTGCATCATGATAGTAGTGAAAATGAAATAAATTCTAGATATTACTGTAGCAAAATGTAGTATCTTGTAACATAAAAACTAAAATCGATCCACTTTGAAATAACTAAAAGGTGAAAATTGAATTGGTTAAGTATTGTAGTGTGAATTGTGAATAAATACATTTCATAATTAGTAGGCACACTTTGAATACAAAAGTAATGTAATATTAATTAATATATTAGGTACAATATAGCATAACTTGAAGTCAAATAAATGGGTGATGAATTTATAACATTAAATGGACTTGTGATGAAACATGAATGTCCTGTAACACTTAGTACACATATCCGATTGAAATTTCACATAACTTAATTAAGTAGTACCCAATTTGAATACTCCATGATGACTGTAGTACCTTTACTCATTACCAATAAGTGTTAAAATAATACAACATATGACCCTTGTTTCTTTCATTCGCAGTAGCGATTTCCCAACTGTAGCGCATAATGAGTAATTAGGCAAAGAAAAATATGATTTATTTTAATTTATAAATGTTATAGCATAGGAAGTGATACTATATACTTACATAGTTATGAACTGAAGTTTATTTTATGACAACTTTATTAAATATTAGAGTTTTATTAAAATACTGAATATTTTTAAAGTACTGAATATATATATATATATATATATATATATATATATATATATATATATATTAAATAATGAATATTTATTTAAAATATTGAATACTTATTAAATATTGAAATATTTATTAAAATATTGAAGATTTGTTGAATATTGAATTGTCTATTGTCTATTGAATTATTTATTGAATGTTGAATTGTTTATTGAATATTGGATTATTTATTGAATATTGACTATTTATGAATATTGAATTTAATTATTGATGATAAATTAATTATTTTATATTTAATCGGCAATATGTGTTTTGTGAATTGAGGTTAAATTGTACTGATACTTGTGGATTACTTGCTAATTGTGGCAATGATGTTTGAAGTAAGAATGACATGATTCTTGAAAATATGTTTGTATGTGCAAATGTGTGGTAATTCATGTGTGATGAATTATTGAAGATATGTGTGGATATTAAGATTTGTGTATGGTCATAATTGCATATGGTTGTTGAATTTGCATACGCATCATTTATGTCAAGAGGCAATGCTTGTTAGTTCCGTGGAAGTTAGTGACTTGTCCCAAACCTAGAGCGGGGTTTGAAAGCTTAGAGAATGAGCTTTTGTGTGTTATTGGTCTAGGGAACATACCCGATTTAAATGTAAAAACCGAAAAATAATATCAAGTGTTGGTACCACATGACATGAGTTGTATTGAGTTTTGCATTGAGTCTCATTGTGTATATGTTTGTGCTATGAGATTATGTGTATCTATGTGAATTGTTGAAATTGGTGAAATTGTGAATTGTGTATATACTAGTGAATGATATGGTTACTTGAGTGATACTTTATTAATGAAACTTTGAAGTGTGAGAATAATTGAATTATGCTTGTATGCCTTAGATTAATTATTATCTTATAATTTCAATAATTATGTGAATTCTTACCCTTCGTTGGAATGATGTTTTATACGACATCACTCAGGTATCGAGGAGTAGAGTTGCTTCTAGCGTGAGGTAGCCGTTGGAGTAGCTTGATTTGTGTCTTTATTTATTTTGGATCGAGTCATGCTCTGATTATGTAACATTGGAGAATGTTTCGATTTCATGTTTTGAGAGATACTTTATGTACTCTACTTTATTCTTTTATTGTTATTTTAAATTATATGAAGTATTGACTTTTAAGCCTAAGTATTGATTATGAATGAGATGAGCATGAGACTTTCATTATGTCTATTATGATTCAAGTAAATCCGCTGCTACATGCTAATGTGAAAGTGTATGAAAAACATGAAGTTATTTAAGTGTTATTGAGCATGACAGGTGTTTGTGTGATGTTTTAAAAAATTATGTGACACCCTTTTGTGAAATGCATGATAATTACTCTAATTTATATATATATATATATATATATATATATATATATATATATATATATATATATATATATATATATATATATATATATATATATATATATATATATATATATATATATATATATATATATATATATATATATATATATATATATATATATATATATATATATATATATATATATATATATATATATATATATATATATTTCGCGTGGTTTAGAAGGGTGTTACAGAGCGCATGCCGAGTCAACAATCAGTTACATAGAAAGGTGTGTGACTTAACTGAGTTAACTCCATCTCCTTAAAACATATTCTTGTTTTTAGGTGTGCAGAATCCAACACAATCTGAAGATCCGTCTCAATCTAATAATTTTAGGTTAATCTTTTTCCTGTCTCATGCAAAAAAAAAAAAAAAAATTATTCAAAAATAAATCTGATATCAGGTGGGACGGGTTCGGGTTGTCCTTCGAGTTACCAAATCCGTCATAATATTATAAATACACATTTGCTACTATTTATTTATTTAATTTATTAGTATATTTAGATTATTCCAAATTTTCAATATACTTTTTCACTTTCCATCTCATAATTTAATATATGCACTAAGTAAACATCTTCCCACTTCTCAACTTTCATACTTTTCTAGTTCTCATACATTATGTTTTTTATTTTATATCTTCTTACTATATTTTAGTGAAAATAAAAAGATGATTACATATATAGAATTATATCATGTTTTTTATTTTAAAAAATTGTCTTTAGATATCTTTATTATTTTTTATTCATGCTAATGATTTTATTCATATTTCTTATTTAAATGAATTTTTTAAAATACTATAATAAATTTTTTAAGGCACTAAATTTTTTTTCCATATATTTTGGGTCAGCCCGATTTCCTCTTATATTAATCTGGTCTAAACTAACGTATATATTATCAGATTTTTTTCGGACTTAAATACTAATTAGGATCATTAAAATAACCTAATCAAAACTTAAGACAGAGTTAAAGTTAGTCATACCCCATCCTGATCTATTCCTTGTTGACCCATAATAAGTAGTATACTAGTACAATTTTCAATCAAATAATCCCTACTTATGAATTATGGATCGCATAAAAATCCACAAAATTAGTTACTAAGATAAAAAAAAACTAATCTATGAGCATTGATACTTTAGACTTTTAACGAGACATCCTCAACAAAACACCAAGCCATTCCTTACTTTACGACACAGCATAGAACCTCCTCTCCTTTTACATGAAAAAAGCATATAAATATTTATCAATAAATGATACCACCAAGCAAAAAAACACTCATCACTTATAAAAGAACTTCACATGGCACACAATACATCATCTGAGTCGGATAATGAAATTTCCACAACAAGAACTAAACTCTTTGAACATGAAAAATCTATACATGAAATCCTCGGAGGAGGAAAAGGTACCACTAAATTTTAGTCATTCTATATTCTATTGCACATTAAGACACTAAAGTTTCCCTTGTGAACTGATTCTGATAAAATGGAAACTTCATTTACAGTGGCAGATATATTTTTATTGAGAAACAGAAATGAATCTGCTAAACTTTTTCTCGGGATGACAACGATATGGTTTCTATTCGGGATCCTTGACTACAATTTAGTAAAATCATTTTTCGTTTTTTCATCACGGTGATGCTTGTGCTATTCATATGGTTCAGACTTGCATATATATTAGAATGGTATCAAACATATACTTAAATTAACCATACAAAATGGTTACATTTAACTTCATTCACTCTATGATAATGTTTTTGATTCTCTTTGAATATCTATATATATTCAGGAAAGATCCTCCTCATGTACCGGAAATAATTTTAGAAGAGTCGTTCTTCAATGATCTTGCTTTCATTCTCTACCGGAGATTCAACCAGATATTACCAATACTCTTCTTGCTTTCATGTCTATCAGATCCACCCGTCTTTCTTATGGTATCACCAATATTATTTAACACTTCATAAAATTTTAGTTCTCATGAACCAATAAGTAAATTTATGAACTAATTTGTTATAACAATTTTAGATCAATGTTTCCCTCTATATAATCTCAGTGATTGGAAACTACTTCAGATTTATTAATCTGCTATACATTGGTAACCATTTCATTACTTTTTTCTTTCTTTGATTTTACATTAAAGATTAAGTTTACTAATCAAGTTATATTCTTTTTGTTGATGGTTTATTAAATGAACAAGGCTATCTCTGCATGCAAACATTTCCACTTGTGTTTGAACAGTACGAAGAAGAAATTAATAATCTGTTTGGAGATATCAGGCTAGTGCTCAAGAAAATGTATAGGAAGTTTGACAAGAATTATCTCAGAAAAATTTCTAGAGGACCATTGAAGGACAAAAAAGCTCAATGATTTACTACTTGGAAGAAAACTAGTAACTGATAATGATAGATATATATTGAAGTTGGTTACTTTTCGATAAGTGTAACAATAGTGTCAAGTAACAATTAAAAAGACCGTCTCTATGAAAATTGTGATTTAACAAGATAAATATGAGCAAATTTAAGTAATTAAATGGGGGTTTAATTTGATTTGGTTCCAAAACAAGAACAAGAAAACTAAAAGAATTGCTTGTTGAAATGATTTAATTTGATTTCAAAAATGTCTAATGTAGATTAACTTAACTACTCAATGATAAATTAACAAATATCATGAGTGTTGAAATTAACCCAATTTTGGAGAATTTCGAACTAATCTTAATTAACAAGATTTAATAAATTGATCAAATTTCTCTCTTGTTCTTCACTATTCACTCGACTGAATCAATCACACATTGATTTCAAGAATGATAAGGGTTTGAAACAAATATGGAAGAAGAGATAGCGGAACCTCATTTCGATGTGCTTGTTTCGTCCATGTGCTATCGAATTCTGCAATCTGATTCTCAGTTCTGCAGTGTTCCAAGTTCATCTTCCTTTCTGATACATGCTCTCAAAGATAGCGGAACCTCATTTCGATGTGCTTGTTTCGTCCATGTGCTATCGAATTCTTTGCCAAATTGATAGCTGACACGTTGTCAATCTTCATGGTAATTGCTCCATGACTCTTCGTTGTAATCTCTTCGACCAGGTTCACCATCCATATTACTTGGCATACATAGAGGGAAGCAACTATGTATTCTGCTTCGCACGACGACAATGCCACTATTGCTTCCTTCCTCGAACTCCAAGCAACTGGTGCACCATCTAGCATAAACACATAACAAGCTGTGGATTTTCGATCCTCAGCATCACTCCAGCTTGAGTTGGTGTAACCCACTAGCTTGCATTCTTTTCCTTCATCAATTACAGAAAATAAAATGTCATAGTCGAGAGTTTCTTTCAGATACCTCAGTATCCTTTCCATTGCTTCTACGTGTGATGTCTTTGGCTTCTGCATTAATCTACTCATCATAACTATATTGTATGCTAGATCAGGCCTTGTGTGACAAAGGTATCTTAATTACCCAATAAATCTTCTGTACTGATTTGGGTCAACATCATCTTCATATGTGTCTTTTGACAGTTGCATTATGGGCTCAACTGGAGTCGAAGTTGGGTTACAATCTTGCATTTTAAATCTCTTGAGTATTTCGTCTGCATATGTTCTTTGATGCATCATCAAACCTCTACTACTCTTGTAGAACTCCATACGAAGAAAGTATGAGAGATTTACTAAGTCTGACATTTTAAACCCACTTAGGTCATTGATGGGCGATTCGCAAGTGCACGAATAATGTCAAAGTAATACAAAAGATTATCGATCCCACAGAAACCAAACGTCAATCTATCGATTACTATTGTTACGGTGTTTATCTAAGGAAAATCAAATAAAGGATTGGGTTGTGCGAAATAAAAGTAAAGCGTGTGATTAAAATTAATAATACAGCAACAAGCATAGATGCAATTCATATAGCTACGTAGTATTCCAGATGTGTACATATAGGATTCCGTATGGGGTAATATTTTCTACTCATGAAAAGAACTAATTTAACGGGAATTGTCGATTTCGCGTATTCAGAACCGAGTTTATCCTTAATCGACCCATCTTATTGTCACTTATAAAAAGATGCGCATTGCGTTAGGATTAATAAACCTATTTTTAAGAAATATAGTTTCTTGACTTAGTTGAAAAGTATTTTAACCTGGAATTTCTAACAAAAAGAGGTTCTTGCGAACCGGATTTTAAATGCATAAACGCATCCGAAAACAGTTTTAAAATCGGTTTTCTTAAACCTTAAAGACTCCTAATTGACTGAGCCAAGAGCTTTCACTTCCTCGGAACAGTCAAAACTAACCTAATTTATCTAAAGGTTGGACGACTTTCGATCTTATCTAACAAATTTTATGTACCGAAAATAAGTGTTAAAAGTTAAAATAACCCCTAAGTAATTCTACCGACAACCGTGTGGAATATTAATTATAACTATAATCCTCGCATCCTATCCCTTAAGATTTAGCCGAACATAGTAAGGTAAATAGGCATGGAAAATAAAGTGCGAGTAAATAACTAAATAAAGTGCGGTGCGAGAGATAAAGGGTGCGGGAAATAAAGGCGGGTAAATAAATAAAATGCAATAAATAGACAGGAACCTGCTCTAAACGAGAGGCTTTAAAATCTTGTACGACTAGAAGTAAAAAGCGGAAATAAAATGGCGGCAGGTTTAACTTCTATCCAAGAACTGCCTTCGACTTGCTTCCTACATCCTTGTGGAAGTTGTTCTTGTGTTGTTTCGCCTGAATACATTCTTCATACACTTCACTTGGAATGTCGATTTCTGGTAATCCTGAAACCATATTTCTTCTCTTCAAATCTCTTATGTCTTTGAAATTGAGATTACCAAGTCTATAATGCCATATTCATTCATCTCTGCTAGCTGCAGTTGCAAGGCACTTATGCTCTATCACATTAAGTTCAACCTTTAAGATTTTATTATGAGACATTGGTGCCTTCAAGATTAACCTACCATCTGATTCGAGAACTCTCATTATCTTGTCTTCAACCAAAACTTTGTAATTCTTTTCAACCAACTGTCCTATACTGAGCAAATTTCTCTTCATGCTTGGTATGTACAACACATTGGAAATTACTGACCTTTTTCCATCTTTCCTTATAATCAGAACATCACCAATACCTTCAGCAGCTAGAGTATTGTCATTTGCAAATTTCACCATGTTCTTCATTGAGGGCTTTATGTTTACAAAGCAATCTTCCCTTCTAGACATGTGTGATGAACATCCTGAGTCCAAGTACCACTGGTCCTTGAATCTCTCTTTATACATCTCTTCTTCTTCATGTTTCGCCAGCTTTACATCAGTTTCTTAATTCTTCTGCTTTTCAAGTCAGTTACTAGAATAATGACCACACTTCTGAAAATTGTAACACTAAATGTGACTTTTGTCAAGTTTTCGACCACCATCTCTTCCTCTACCTGAAGCACCACCTCTTTGGTTTCCTTGGTTCAAGGGTTTTTTTTTATGATTCGACCAGTTTGCTTCTTACTAATTTCGACTAGTCGAATAGTTGTAGCCTCATTTGCCTTTGTTTCCATTCCAACTTCCTTTGCCTTTCTTTTCTATTGTTAATTACGCATGCAAAGCCACATCACTCTTCGAATTTCCTGCAGCTCTTTCATCCATTATTTATTTATGAGATTCAAGCATTCCTTGAATCTCTTCCTTTGTCAATGTTGACAAGTCTTTTAACTCTTCTATGGCTATTACCATGTGGTTGAACTTCAGAGCCAATGACCTCAAGATCTTTGCGACAACTGATCTTGATGATAACGTTTCTCCACATACCTTAATTTGATTCACCAGTTTCGTAACCTTAGTGAAGAAATTAGTTATGCTTTCATTATCCTCCATATGAAGTAATTCATAGGTTCTCTTATGAGTTTGTAACCTCACACCTTTCACCTTTTTTTGCGCCTCCAAATGATTTCTCCTGAATTTCCCATGCTTCTTTCGCTGATTCTACATCACTAACATTTTCAAAATGTCTGGATCAACGCATTGATGAATTATAAAGAGAGCTTTATAATCTTTCTTCTTCAATTCTTTGTGTGCAGCCTTTTCTTCCTCTGTCGTATTTTCTGCAAGCGGTGTTACTCTTTCCTTCATAAGATCCCAAAGATCTTGATAACAGAAAACAGCCTTCATCTGCTTGCACCAATTCTCATAATTATTGTTCTTGAGAACCAGAAGACTCGCCAGTAAATGCTCGTTCAGATGCTTCAGCGTCATCGCGTTTTGCTTCCACGAATCACAACCGGAGCTCTAGTTACCAGATGTTGGAATTCACCCAATCTTGGAGGATTTCAAACCAATCTTGATGAACAAGATTCAATCAACCGATCAAATTCCTCTCTTGTTCTTCACTCTTCACTCGAGCGAATCAATCACACTTTGATTTTAAAAATGATTATGTGCAGCAATTGTTAATGGAAGAAGAATGAAAAATAGAATTGGGAAGAAAAAGAAATTAGGGTGTGAACCAAATATGGAAAAAGACAATTTCTGCAAAGTTTCTCTCTGCTATTCAAAATTGAATGTTATTCTTTGCAACTGCAAAAAATTGTTATATAATAATAGGGGTTACTCCCTATTTATACATTCACTATGACAAAAAAGACCTTTAACAACGCTTTTTTTGGCCTTTAGCAACGCTTAAAAGCGCTGCTAAAGGTAAAGGCAGCGCTTTTTTAAAGTAAAAAGCGCTGCTATAGGCCCCTTTTTAGTAGTGCTTTTCCATAAAAGCGTTCTCTATTCCCACCACCTTTAGCGGCGCTTTTCTTAAGAAAAGCGCTGCCTTTTCCCCCACCTTTAGCAGCGCTTTTTCAAGCGCTCTCTTCCCCCCCCCCCCCCCCCCCCTTTTAGCAGCACTTTTTCAAGAAAACACTGTCTTTTCTTCACGTCATTGAATTTTTTTTCATAAAAATCACTTTTTCATAGCGCTTTTTTGGTAAAAGCGCTGTCTATTTTTCATATTTTTATGAAATGATTTTTGTTGAATTCTGTAGCACAATTCATTATTTCAACACTTTGGCCTTATATATACCATAACAGTTCAACATATAAACCTGCTTATAATCATTGTAATTCAACACATAAACCTGATTATAATCATTGTAATTCAACACAAGCCTTTATTTCAACACATATATAGGCATTATATATATATATATATATATATATATATATATATATATATATATATATATATATATATATATATATATATATATATATATATATATATATATATATATATATATATATATATATATATATATATATATATATATATAGACACACACACACACACACATGTGTATATATATATATATATATATATATATATATATATATATA